ACCACGATAATGTCAAATTTCACACAAGTTTGGTAACTGGTCAGAAACTGTTATAACTTAGATGGGATGTACTATCATACCAACCATATTCGCCAGATCGAGCACACTCAGATTATTACTTGTTCTGGTCTATACAAATTTTTTTTAACTGTAAGACATTTACTTGAAATGACAATGTCAAAAATCACTTGAATCAGTTTTTTGTAAGCAACGATTAAAACTTTTATGAATGTGAAATCATGCTACTACCAGAAACAATGACAACAGGTATTTGATCAAAATGGTTGAAATATAATTCAATAGAAATATTTATTTATTATAAAAATATTGTTTTTTTTTCCATGGAAAAAACGAACTTACTTTCCAAACAACCCAATAAAAATAACATTTTTTTTAATTAAAATGTTTCATAATTATTAAACATATATAAAAAAGCTGGCAACATTGTCACTGAACTTTTCCAGCATTCTTTATTTGTTTCATTCCTAATAATTGCTACAATTACCTTCAAGTCTTCAGATTTACATAAAATTATCTAATACAAATAATTACAATTCAACTATTTAAAAAATATTATCTTTCCCCACCTTTTCAACATATAAAGATCTTTTGGTCTAATTTCAATAGAAATTATGATTAATAAAAAAATATTTATCTCAAAGAATTTCATAAAAAACAGTTTTTTTATATTTTTACCCTGGTTGGAGAGTTGAGAAAATATCAATTTCTTAAAATTATTTTATTAATATATACTGGAAAAAGTTAAAACTCAAATTAGTTTATTCTATCAAAGTTATAAAAATGCAAAAAATGTTAATATTGAAAGTGGGGTGATTTTCAAAAAAGAATTTGGAAACACATTTTTTGTTAAACTAAAATTTGTATGAGTAAAAAAATTTCATAACTTGGAAGCTTTTAAAATAAAATAAACTATACACTATTCAAAAATAAAACTTATAATATTGAAAGAGAGGTCAGAACCCCCGCATTTCTTTATGCAGCAAGAATGTAGCAAAATGATATCGAGCAGTGTTGGCCAATTAGAAACCAGTTTCAGTGTGTTTGCTGTAAAGGGCTTCTCGAGCGCTGCATAAAGAAACATGGGGAACTAAAAATAAAAAAATTCTGACACAATCAACAGAAGAGTTTAAAAGGTATACCAGGTTTCTTGGTATAACAACAGATAAAAAATTAAAATGGGATATTCCTGTGGGAAACTTGTCCACATATACATGGGTTTTAAAAAAAAAACAATTATTTTTAAATTATTGTAATTATGTTAATTATTATGTGAAAAGTATGCATTGTAAGCCAATTGATAAAGTAACTGTTTGAATTTCCTCTATAATCCATTCAATCAAATGTCTCTATAATCAAATGTCATTTTGTTTCTTGCCTCTAGAAAGCATCATGAACAAAAATAGCAACTTGCAACAGAGAAGGCATTTTGCATTCTGCAGTCCACAAACTCATAATCAGTCATCATTATGCACAAGAATGTTTGCCTTACTGATTGATCACTGATCACTTTGAAATTATCTGAGAAACTCATGTTTGCCAATGATGACTGATTCTGACTTTGCAAACTGCAGAACACAAAATGCCTTTTCTCTTGCAAGGTTGCCATTTTTATTTGTTACACTTCCTACAGGCAGCAGGCAAAAAGATGTTTAGATGAAACTTGGACATTTACTGTATTGATTGGTGTACATCACATACTTTTCAGGTAATAATTAACATAATTACAATGATTTAAAATGATAGCATTCTTTTTGAAAATTTATCAGAATATTCAAAAAATTTGCATTTCTGATTTCAAAAACACAATAAAATGTGTATAGAGCCAAAAACTACATGTAATATTCTGATGCATTTCTTGAAATTATTTTTTCACATCATCTACAGATCCAACTTAATAATTTTTTTAAGACTAATGGTCTCAGATTCTTCAATCTGGTTTCTATAACATATTTTACATAAAAAATTGAATACCATCAAAATGTATTATATAAAACATCTGTTTTTCTGTTATCAAATTACAATAATAGCTTCCTTAGATATTATTCCTTTAGCTTCCTTTATCAATTGATTGGGAGATAGCTTCTTTTATCAATTGTTTATGTCCAACTTCATACATCAGAGAAGAAAAGCCAACTATCTTATACCACAATGTCAATTATCCATAGAACTGTCCTCACCAATCTGGCAAATAATATACACTGCTGGCCATTAAAATTGCAACACCAAGAAGGAAAGCAAATAAAAAAAAGATATTTATTGTACATAAACAGTATGGCATAAAGACAAAATGATTAAATTTGCAAGCAGTTTGGGGGTTTAGAGGGGCGTGAAATTAGTAGACACAGTTGCCATCCCCGGCGGCTAAAACAGCCATTATCCGTTTAAGCATGGAGTCGAACTGGGCTTGGATGACAGAAACGGGCAACTCATTCCATGATGCTTCAAGTCTATGCCACGCTTCATCAACTGTATTAGCAGGAGAGGGGTGGCGGGCCAGTCTCTCAGCAACCCATGACCAGATGTTTTCAATTAGTGAGAGATCTGGAGACCATGCAAGCCAGGGCAACAATTGAATATCCTCTGTATCAAGGAAGGTCAGAACTCGATGTGTAACATGAGGTCTTGCATTATCTTGTTGGAAGCTGGCATTTTGCAGGCCTCGAAGATAGGTTATAACCACTGGATGTAAGATGTCAGAAATGTACTGATCTGAGTTCAAATTATCATCGATCCGAACTAGAGATGTGCATGTCTAGTACCCAATGGCTGCCCATATCATCACACTAGATGCAGGGCCTCTAAGCCAATATCAAATGCAAGCAGGCGATGAGCAGTCTGCTCGGAGCCTCCAGACACGTATCCGGCCATCAGAATGCTGCACGCAGAACCGGGACTTATCTGAAAAGACGACATTGTGCCACTACTGTATCTAGCTTTGTCATTGGGCACACCAGAGTCAGTGTCTCTCTGTATGCTGCATTGTCAAGGGAAGCCGAAGTAATGGTCGCCGTGCTGACAGTCCACGTTGCTGCAAACATCGTTGCACCGTACGAGCAGATACTAGACGTGCTGCAAACAAGGTCATTTCCTGACTAATAGTCCATGATGTGGTTGTACGGTTTTGCACGGCCGACCTCACAATATGTCTGTCCTCTCGGGCATTAGTCATGGGAGGGCATTGAGATTCTGCATGCTGTTCAGTAAGATCCTCAGCAGCCCATCGATTCCATATTCGCATGACAGTGGTTGGATTTCGACCAGTGCGAGTGGCAATATCACGGAACGATAATCCACACTCTTTAGAGGCAATGATCCTGCCTCTATCGAATTCCAACACTTGCTGATAAGCATTTCTTCTTCTTATTCGAGGCATACCACAATATTCTGATGGAACCCCGACCTTACAAAGCGATTTCTGAATGAGAAATCCACTGCACAACTTTTCTTTTATGCAGTGCTTCAGATGTCGTTTGTCCCTCCTGCATTGTCTACATGCACTGAAATATTAATCATTTGCATATCCCAACCTCTTCTTCTTTTTATGTGATTTTGACGTTCATACGATCATTCCTTCCTGGTGTTGCAATTTTAATGGCCAGCAGTGTATTATTGGAATGAAATATGTGACAATTTAAAAAAAAATCACAATTTACTATAAATTTAAAAAATAGTTAACAATATTTATGTTTTGAGAATTGAAGAATTGTACACTTGTCAATAAACATATTATAGAAAGATAAATATTTAAAAAAAAGAGAGAGAAAAGAGAAGGAAACAAGAAAGTTTTTCCTAGTTCACTTAACTATATTTGAAACATGACCTGAAAAAGGTCACAGACCATGTAGCCTCTTGGTTACCGTATTTTGATGAGTATAAGTCGCTGTCAAGTATAAGACGCACTCTTATTTTGAGACAAAAAATTTAGAAAAAAACTTTTTAATAGGATTGTCTAAAGATGCATTTTATTAATCATAGTGGCCAAGAAAGTCTTCAACTGAATCACTGCTATCTACTGGTAAATTACACCCATTAGGAAACATATGTATGACGTCATTAATGACTGATTCATCATCATCAGAATCTTCATAGATCGCCTCATCTTTGGTACCATCCAGAGCATTAGATATTCCAGTTTTCTTGAATGACTTAATTAATTATGATCTCCGTTTTAATACCTTCCCAAGCACGCAGCACCCAATTACACACTTGCGCAATGCTGGCTCGTTTTATTCTCCCTGTTGGTGTTAAACTTTTATTTGTAGCAGTCATCATCCACTTGTTCCATTCATCACGAATTGCTTGCTTGAATGGCTTATTTATTTACACATCTAAAGGTTGCAGCTGTGATGTAAGCCCTCCTGGAATTAGTCGAGAGTCAACAGAATGACAGTCGACAGAGCATGGTGGCAATGACTTGTGTGCCGCTACTCTGATAATCTAGGTACTCTAACCATTCAGTTGAGGGACCACCTGCTTAACAGACCACTGCACAGGTTGGTCCCTAGAGTGGACCACTACTGTAGATAATTTAACTGTAAAAATGGTTACCTGTCGAGTATAAGACGCACCATGATTTTGAGCCCCAAAAAGTAGTAAAAAAGGTGCAAATCATACTCGTCAAAATACGGTAATATTCTTCAATTGTTTTAATGTGCAACCTTTATTATGACCAAATAGTTATTACAATTAATGCATTTTCAAAAACAACTTGTATATCAAGAAAATTTTTCCATTATTTCTTTATAGGAAAAATTCTAACTCATTCCTGGTAATCTGAATAACTCCAATTAATTTTCCAAATGACACTAAAACACTATAAAAAATCAATTTACCTATCAGTCCATAACTTTATCATGATATTAGCCTCAAAAGCTGCAATTACCACACTAGCAAAAAGTAAATAATGTCATTAAGGGGGTAATTTTGTAATATCATTAGCAGAAACACAATAAGTTTGTATAGCACCCCCTATTAAGAATCATATATAAACTGTATTTTCTATAATATGCAGTAGACATCAGTAAAAAAACAATGTGTAAAAGGTAAATATAACACACTTTCAAACCCATAATGAGTCCAGCAGAATAGTGTATATTTCACTTTACAGTAAACTCTGTTCTACTGGACTCATTATAGGTTTGAAGGTAGGTTACATTTACATTTGTTTATGGTCAAGTTCTTCAGATTTAATGTGTAAAAGGTACTGTATATTTTTATATTAAAATATTACTATATAAAAATAGAACAAGAGTGAAAATATAGTAATGAACCTAACTTACTGTAATAAGCTATTAATGTTAAGTTTGTACAACTGCACTGAAGTTTCGAAATAAAAATCACTAAACTGAAAATATTTGATATAACATACACAATACTACTGAAACAAATATAAGCAGATCCTAAAATGGAGTTGTTCCCTAATTCAAACTTTTAATAATATAATTTTCAAATTTTTCACATGTGCACTTTTGAACAAATTTGATATTGGAATTAATTGATTCATAAATTGTGAAGGATACTAAATAAAACCATTTATTATAGCAGGAATTCAGATACTAGATTACACTGTATATGTAAGGGTTGTCCAAATGAAAAGTAGACATGCCATATTTCATTGTGCAAAGTAGCAATTGGTGGGCCATCTTACAGGTGGGTAAGCTCAGCATAGGCAAAGTACTGGCTGCATTAAGTATTAGTGGGGATAGATTTTATTTCCAATAATTGGCAGATTAATGTTACGTTAGTTACAATGGAAGCATCCAGAGTCAAACAACACATGATAGTTCAATGTTTAGTGGCTGAAGGGAAGAGGAGTGCCAATGTCTACAGATGAATGAAGCACATTTATGGCAAACATTGTTTAGGATGAACAGCAGTGAATAATTGGTGCAAGAGTTACAGAGAAGGCAGCAAGTCAATTCAGGATAAACTGAAACCAGGTCAGGTGCACACTGTAATCTCCACTGTACCAATTGCTGCTCTGGAAAACATAAATCAGATGAGTTACAACTTGCACTACAACTTTCATATTTTTTTGGTGTACATCACACTTCTCAGGTAATAATTAACATAATTACAATAATTTAAAATAATAGCATTCTTTTTGGAAATATATCAGAATATTTGATTGACAAAGGAAGCTATCTCCCATGGTATTAACATGGGAACAAATACCATGGGAGATAGCTTCTCCCTTGGTATTAACATTCTGTTGTCATTATAGTATGTAATTTGACAACAGAATGTTGTCAAATTACATACTATAATGACAACAGATGTTTTGTTTTATATAATACATTTTGATGGTATTTAATTTTTCATTTAAATATGTTGTAAAAACCAGATTGAAGAATCTGAGACCATTTGTCTTAAGATCTCTTAAGAAAGCTTTGCGAGGGCAAAGATTCATGTCAGACAATGAGATGAAGGATAAGGTCAAAGAATTTTTTATCAGCAGCTACCAGAATTCTATGCAAGAGACATCAATCTGCTTGTAAGATGCTGGGATCTTTACCTAAACAAACATGGAGATTTCTTTTAGATAAATGTTTATGACATGTCCACTTTTTATTTGGGGCAATTCTTATAGAAAGCTACACACCAACTAATGCCGAAAATTATCAGGCTAGAAACAGCTATAATGATATATTATGAGACAATTTCACACTAGAGTTAGACGTTAGGTGCCATCTCTTGATAAATTTAATAATTATAATTTTTAATTATTGGTTATATTGGGTTTAGTGATGATGTTTGTTTATACCAGTGTTTTTCAACCTTCTTGAATAGTGACCTCTTTAGGTACACTTGTCAATAAACATATTATAGAAAGATAAATATTTAAAAAAAAGAGAGAGAAAAGAGAAGGAAACAAGAAAGTTTTTCCTAGTTCACTTAACTATATTTGAAACATGACCTGAAAAAGGTCACAGACCATGTAGCCTCTTGGTTACCGTATTTTGATGAGTATAAGTCGCTGTCAAGTATAAGACGCACTCTTATTTTGAGACAAAAAATTTAGAAAAANATATCAGTGATTTTAAAAACTACGTATTTAATTTTCTTTCTGTTGAGACCTAAATATCAATTGAAAAACCAATTGTACTGTAAAATAAACAGATACAGCCTTCTCACTGAAATTGTAGTTTTCTTTATTGTAGTGTAGGACCTACAAACACTTGTCTTTTTCTTTTACCCGCGACCCCCAGCGTAAGGCTTTGCGACCCTTCTGGGGGTTGCGACCCACAGGTTGAAAAACACTGGTTTATACAATCCTTATATAATGTTATGCTAGACATGAAGGCCATTTTACATTGTAGCTAATAAACAAAAAAACAAACTAAACATATAACTTTTTCTTATGAACGTATAAAAAATTATGTTTTTTGATTTTTCAATGAACCACAAACATTAAGATATTCTTAGAAAAATAACTACTTACAGTTTTAAAAAATACATATTATGAATAAGTAACTTTACCTATATGTAACTATTAAAATTCAGCTAAACAGATTTAATAAATATTTTTGTAACATTTGCTAATCTTTCAGTTTTAATTACAGTTGCCAACTTTCTCGTACAAAAAAGGAGGACATTGTACAGACATTGAACAGTGAAGGACATTTATAACATAGTAGTTTGTTATATATATTTGTCAAGTGGAAATTATAAAACATTAATAAACAACCAACCAACAACTATATTAATTAGGCAGGAATAAAGCTACAAATATTAAATTTGGAAGTTGAATTTGGATTAAAACATTAAATAGACAATAAATAAAGTTTTAAACTCAATGTTAGAATTATTATCAACTGCTGCACAATTCCACCCTAATTGAATCCCTAAGTTTTACTTGATTGTCTGACTCTGATTAATAGTAGTCTTTCTCTTTCTATTACTCTAGTGAATGG